AAGCTTTGTTGTCAATAAATTAAGAAAATCTCTTAAAACGTTCAAGAGTTATTTGGAAAACGTAGTCTAAAATTATTTTATAGAAAGCTTGTTAAATACTTTTATACAAAATACTCGTCAAAAGCTAAAGCTCCTTAACAAGATTTCTATTAAACTTCTTCTTAAAACATTTTTGAAGTTAAAGGGTCTAATAGAAACTTGAAAAGTTGATCAAAAGCTTAAAAAGTGATAGATAAAATCATGTTTCTTACTTTGAATCAAATTCTAATAGAAACTTGTCGAAAACTCTATATTGAAAAGTTTTATCAAAGGCTTAGGAATTGGCAGATAAACTTATTAAAAACTTGTCAAAAATGTTTTTTAGAAAAGAAAAGGAAAGCTCGTTTAAACTTTTTACATAGAATACCCGCCATAAATGCTTCCCTCATTGAAACCATGAATAATTTTGAGAACGTTAAATAATTAAAAAGCTCTTTTGAAGCTGTTATATAGAATACTCTTCGAAAATAAATCTCCTTATTAAAAGCTTCTATAAATTGAAAAGATTTCTATTGAAAAAGAATTCTTAAAATTTCTATATTCTGGAAAACTTGTTCAAAGCTTTTAAATAAAATACTTGTCGTAAACGTTTCTCTGATTAAAGCGTCATATAGTTTGAAGACGTTACTATTGAAAAGAAGCTTTTCTATAGAACATATTGAAAATTTTTAAGAAAAGCTTTTATATGGATTAATCATCGAATAATTTTATCTTTATAATCCTAATAAATTAAACTTTTGAGAACTTTTCTGTAGATGTAACATGTCTAATAGGAAAGCTTTTATATAAACCACTCGTCGAAAACGTTTACGTTTTATTGAAGGAGAAATCTTAAAATTTTTGTAAATTTTTATTAGAGATTTCGTTAAGAACTTTTCCATAAAACAAATGTTCTATTGAAACAAATTTAAGAAAAGCTCTTTTAAAGCTTTTTTATAAAATTCACTCTTTATAAATCATTAAATAACTTAAAAATCTTTCTACATATTTGTATTAAGAACTCGTTAAATACTTTTCTATAGAACTTTTGTAATTGTAAAGCTTATTTAAACTTTTACATAAAATACTTGTCGAAAACGTTTCGTTTGAAAATAAAACTGGAAACTTCTGAACTATACATTAGAGATTCGGTCAAAAAACTTCTCTATAGAACTAAAAATTCTATCAAAAATATATTTTGATATAAAAAACAAATACAAATATAGTAAAGCTTTCAACTTTAAGCTTTTATACTCGACGAAATCATTGTTCAAAACAAATCTTCGAATAAATTGAAAGCGTTCCTTACCACAGAAAGAGAAAACTTAAAACTTTTCTTTAAAGGTCTCGTTAAAAGCTTTTTATAGAAAAGAGCTTAGATAAAGTTTTATATGTAGATTCAAAAAGGGGTATTAATCAGTTTGGAAATTTAGAATAAAACGTCAGTAAAAAAAAAACAAGTTAGTCTTCATTACTAAACATTTGCGATTGATATTTAAAGTTTATTAAAGTGCAAGCACTTAATAACATTAAACCGAAGAAAAACGAGTTTGTTTTATAGATTTTTTGGGTAAAAAATGATATTTTAAATGTTTGTCTAAACAAGGAAAATAGACAGATATTAAGTGAATATTTTGTTTAAAAATATTTAAGAAATAAAAAGCGAAATTAATGTTCAACAAAAAATTTTGTTGCTATTTAAAAAAAAAAAAATTTGCAGTTATTATTTATAAGCTATTTGGCAACAATGCTGTCAATGTTAAACAATGTTATACATTAAAAATTTATTCGATTTAAAATGAATTTGTTTTTTTTTCTATACATTTTTAAAATTATTGTTAAAAAATGTATACCAATGGCCTTTAAAATCGATTTTTTTATTATAAAAAGTGTTTAAATAGTGTTAAAATTTTTGTTGTTAATAAAACAACCACAACATGGTATTTAAATGTATGAAGGAGATTAAACTTTTATAATCAGATTTTTTCGGTTAGATTTTTTTCTTTAATTTTGGAGGGGCTTTAAAGCCATCATGTTTTATTTTAGTTTTCAAAGGCAAGTAGGTGGTAACTTTAACAAAGAGTAGATTTAATAATAATAACAATAACAACATTAGACAGCAGTAGTTTAGAAGCAGCAACAACAACAATGTTAACGAATAAAGATTACATGTCTGGGTTTAAGGTTTGTTACTAAAGTCTTTTGTTTTAAGTATCAGGCACAAAACATGCACAAACCAGCAAACACTCTAGTATAAAAAATGCTGGCATTTCTAGCTAAGTTTGCTTCTTAAGTCTTTTGTTTGTGTCAGTTTAAAAATGAACTTTATTTTAAGTTAACGAACATACAACTTCAAACATTCCCTGCTTATATACATACAACAACATAACACAGCACTTCACTTCATTACTTTTTATATTGTTTTTTTTTTCTTAAATTTCAGTTATAGTTGTTGTTGTTGTTTTCTTTTTAACATCCACTCAACATCATCATTATCAACAACACCACTCCAACCTAAACATTAATATCTTCTTTCTTTCAAAAGGTCAAACTTATTGTACGAGTATAAGAAATAATTTACAAACCGTTTGATTTAACCTTTTTCTTTATATAATTTTTATGTCGATTTATTTTTTCTTATAATTTATTATATTTTCTTATCTAGGCTTTTGTTTTTTTTTTCTTAATTTATTTAAGGCACGATTTTTCTTTTATTCTGGAAAAACATGAAATTATGTATTTCTTTTCTTTAAATATTTTATAATAACTTTTTATTATTTGTAGTTGTTGTTGTTGGATTTTTTCTTTAATTTGTTATTTTATTGTTATAATTAAAACAAACACTAATTGTTTCTATTTCTTTTCCTATTATTTATTATGATTTTTTTTCTCTTTTTGTTTTTATTACTCTGTTGTTTTTATTATTTATTTGAAAACAATTTTTTAAAAACGCGTTCCCCGTAACGTAACGTCTTTCTTGGCAAAACCTTGACGTCTTTACGGTTTGTACTCCAATCACAGACTGAGCGTAAAACTAACAAAGTTATGTTGCTGTCCACATAAAAGATACTTTAATAATTCTGTAGCTATTTTAAAGTTGCTGTTGTTTTCTTCTTTTTCTGTTATTTCTTGTTTAGAGTTTTGTATAAACTACTCTCAAAAAACACACAGAAAAAGAAAAAAAATGTTACTTTTAAAGAGTTTCTATTAAAAGTATACTATGGCACAGTGGGAGCTTTTGTATAGTCCCACTCAATTTTAGTTTTAACTTAGTCAGTTCAAATTTAAAGATTGATGTGTTAAATCTAAGTCAGTAAAAGCTTCTTTTCGGCATCAAGCAATACTTTGAAAAAGCTTTTATGTAAAGTTTTATTTGATGTCAAAAGCATTATATTTTTATGGTTGAAAGAGTTTTTATATGAAAAGCTTTTTACAAAATGTCTTTTTTAAATAAGCTTTTTTAAAAGCTTTTTCAAGTACCATTTTTTTGTTAAAGCTTTGTGTTTGCAAATGTATGTTTAAAAAACTTTTTGGCGCCAATACTTTTAAAGAAGCTTTTAAATAAATTTGCGTTTGATGTTTAAAGCATTCGAAGTTCAAAATCCTTTTTTTGTAAACAAAGTTTGTATATGAAAAGCTTTTTAATAAAAGTTTCCTTTTAAGAAGTTTTTTGTAAGAAAATTCACTTTTAAAGCATATTTTTTTGTTAAAGCTTCTTGTATGTAAATCCATGTTAAGAAGCTTCCTGGCGTCAGGTGTTTTTAAAAAACAATAAGCTTTTATATAAAGTTACATTTGAATTTAAAAAGCATTAGAATTTTAATTCTTTCGAAGTCCAGTTTGTAAAAAAAGTTTTTATATGAAAAGCTTTTTATTAAATCTTTTAAAGAAGCTTTTTGTAAGCCAATGCATCTCTAAAGAGCTTAATATAAAGTTTAATTTGATGTCAAAAACATAAAGTTTTTCATTATTACGAAATCCCAAATACTTTTTTGTAAAAAAGGTTTTATGTGAAAAGCTTTTTATTAAATGGTATCTTGAAAGAAGCTTTTTATCAACGCTTTTTGTATGAAAATGCGCCTTTAAAAAGCTTTTAGGAATTAAGTGTTTTTAATAAAAAATCTTTTATGTTAAGCTTTTATAAAAGTTTTTATGCAAAACTTTTTGCCGTTCAGTTTTTTAACAAAACAGTACTTTTAAACAAATTTGTATGTTCATTTCTTTTAAAAGCGTATTCTTTCGTTATTTCGAATACTTTTCTGTAAAATAGTATTTATGTGAAAAGCTTTTTAAGTTCTTCATTTAAAGAAGATTTTTTGTCAAATGCTTCTAATAAACATACGTATTTTTAAAGAACATTTTAGAAAAAGCTTTCCTTATTTTTCGCAGAAAATCGTCTTTATTTACGTTTATCTAAAAAATAAAGAGCTTATAAGGAAAGCTTTTAAGAAGACGTAAAGCTTTTTATGATATATTTACTTTTGTAAAAAGGGTTTCTTGTCAAAAGTGTTTTCTGGAGATAAAGCTTTTCACAAACATTTCAAAAGTATTTTTAAAAGAAAAAAGGCTAAGAAAAAGCTATTTTCAAAGAGTCTTAATTTTCCAAACGTTTATTTGTTAAGATATCTTTTTGCAATCATGAATAATGAAAAATTGTTGAAATAAAGTTTTTTAATAAAAATAAAAAAAAAAATCTTTTTTAAACCCACTGTTTACTGGTTTAGCACATTATTAAGATGATTTAAGAAGATGTTAGCAATGCGTAAGTTTCTTCTCTTGTTTTCCTTCTTTTTCTTTTCATTTTTCAACAAGATTTTCATTTTATTATTGTAATTTGTTTACTAACTTGTTTTTGAGTTTTTTTTTCATATCATTTATTATTTCATTTCTATTTTGTAATGTTGCACAGCCACAACACAAAACCTCTCTATATATAACATTTGCAACTGCTGTTGCTGCTTAATTGAACAAGAACTTCTTACCTCATCGGAAAAATCGCCCATATGTTTGACATCTTCCGTTTCAATATAATCTTTTATTTCTTCATGCGTCACTACCCGTTTCTCATTGATCTCTCTCACTAGACCATCAGCCGGTCTAGGTACAATGCTCTTGACTAATGTGCCCCCAGCATTTTCCAATTCTGCCAATTCACCGCCACCTCCGTCTTCGGCTGCTCCCGCTGCCGTATCTTTGCCATATTGCAAAGCACCTTTGTGTTTGTTGATATCGTTTGGATTTAAGGCAACTGGTAAACCTAAATCTCGTTTCTGCCACAAGTTTAGACAGCAAAATAGAAAGAAAAAAACACATCAAATTGTATTGATTATGCAAATCGTATAGTTTGTTGTTTTGTGTTGGTAAATTGTACATTAAAAAGTTGCTCAATTTTGTCTACACTCTAATGCACTCACTTACATACACACACACATGCACCTACCTCTGTTGTTTCAGTTTCTTGTTTATCCGTATCCTCTGTGGTATTTGTTGATACTATGGGTCCACTGTCTTCAATTACTTTGCCATCTTCGAAAACCACTTGACGTTTGACATGAGTTTCGATTTGACGTGTTGTTGTTAATTCGGTTTTTCGTTTTGTTATCCATTCTTCTGCAAAGTCACAAAACAAAAGAATGGAAATTATTAAAAAAGTGTGCAAAAATTTATTAGTGTTTTTCTAAAAGGCCTAAAAGTATACTAAATATATTTATTTAATTCAATTGAGTTTATAAATATAAAAAACTATAAATTGTATTGAGTGTCAATTTGGGCTTAAAAGTTTTGACCACGTTTGAATGAATTAGTATAACATAAAATGTATGCTTGAATGAATTACGTTTTAACTTTATGTTAACAGTTTGTTTCAAGATAACAGTGGTGAATTTGTAATTTTAAATTGTAATTAACATAACTTGAACAATTTTAATTAATTATTTTCATGCTTCATTTAAATTCATGGCAATTAATCAATTAAATCGTTTTGAATGAAATTATATTTTATTTTTAATTTAATTGTTTTTTGTTTGGAAGTTGGAATTGGTTCGCTGTGTAAAAAAAACAATTTATTTTTGGTCATATGAATGAAAAGAAAGAAGATTGTGGTCTATAAAATTGTTAGGAAAAAAGTACAGCTAGACCAAGATATCGGACTGTAAACAACAATAAATAAAAATTTAATAAAAATATGAAATCAATTCAATTTTTACAAGAATTACTGGTAATTTAGCTCAACATTAAATTTTTATTAGCGTCAAGTGTAGTTTAGTACTAAATTAGTAGCTACAATTAACTTATAGCATAAACTGAACTAGAACTGAACTGAACTGATTATAACTGAACTAGAAACTGAACTAGAACTGAACTAGAACTGACTAAACTGAACTAGAACTGAACTAGCACTTAACTAGACTGACTAGAACTGAAACTAGAACTGAACTAGAATGAACTAGAACTGAACTTAGAACTGAACTAGATGAACATAGAACTGAACTAAAGAACTGAACTAGAACTGAAACTAGACTGAACTAGAACTGAACTAGAACTGAACTAGAACTGAACTAGAACTGAACTAGAACTGAACTAGAACTGAACTAGAACTGAACTAGAACTGAACTAGAACTGAACTAGAACTGAACTAGAACTGAACTAGAACTGAACTAGAACTGAACTAGAAACTGAACTAGAACTGAACTAGAACTGAACTAGAACTGAACTAGAACTGAACTAGAACTGAACTAGAACTGAACTAGAACTGAACTAGAACTGAACTAGAACTGAACTAGAACTGAACTAGAACTGAACTAGAACTGAACTGAAAGAACTGAACTAGAACTGAACTAGAACTGAACTAGAACTGAACTAGAACTGAACTAGAACTGAACTAGAACTGAACTAGAACTGAACTAGAACTGAACTAGAACTGAACTAGAACTGAACTAGAACTGAACTAGAACTGAACTAGAACTGAACTAGAACTGAACTAGAACTGAACTAGAACTGAACTAGAACTGAACTAGAACTGAACTAGAACTGAACTAGAACTGAACTAGAACTGAACTAGAACTGAACTAGAACTGAACTAGAACTGAACTAGAACTGAACTAGAACTGAACTAGAACTGAACTAGAACTGAACTAGAACTGAACTAGAACTGAACTAGAACTGAACTAGAACTGAACTAGAACTGAACTAGAACTGAACTAGAACTGAACTAGAACTGAACTAGAACTGAACTAGAACTGAACTAGAACTGAACTAGAACTGAACTAGAACTGAACTAGAACTGAACTAGAACTGAACTAGAACTGAACTAGAACTGAACTAGAACTGAACTAGAACTGAACTAGAACAGAACTAGAACTGAACTAGAACTGAACTAGAACTGAACTAGAACTGAACTAGAACTGAACTAGAACTGAACTAGAACTGAACTAGAACTGAACTAGAACTGAACTAGAACTGAACTAGAACTGAACTAGAACTGAACTAGAACTGAACTAGAACTGAACTAGAACTGAACTAGAACTAGACTGAACTAGAACTGAACTAGAACTGAACTAGAACTGAACTAGAACTGAACTAGAACTGAACTAGAACTGAACTAGAACTGAACTAGAACTGAACTAGAACTGAACTAGAACTGAACTAGAACTGAACTAGAACTGAACTAGAACTGAACTAGAACTGAACTAGAACTGAACTAGAACTGAACTAGAACTGAACTAGAACTGAACTAGAACTGAACTAGAACTGAACTAGAACTGAACTAGAACTGAACTAGAACTGAACTGAACTGAACTGAACTGAACTAGAACTGAACTGAACTAGAACTGAACTGAACTGAACTGAACTGAACTAGAACTGAACTAGAACTGAACTGAACTAGAACTGAACTAGAACTGAACTAGAAGTGAACTATAACTGAAATAGAACTGAACTAGAACTGAACTAAAACTGAACTAGAACTGAACTAAAACTGAACTAGAACTATAATTTTAAAACAAAATTTAAATTTTAGCATAAAACTAAACTTTAGTACACAATTTAATATTTCAATCCTTTAAAGTGCTTTTCAATATTTTTTAAACATTTACTTATGATTGTTTAACTTATTCTATCAGGGCCCTCAACATAAGCCAGTTTGAACACCCCGGCCTTTAGAAATCAATGATATTAACAATAAATAAAAAAAGTAAACAGGCAAAAAGGGTGTGCTAAAAACCAAAAGTATGAATAAGAAGACCATTTATGTAGTACTCGTACTTTTTTCTTTAGTTACAAACATATGACATCATATTAATACTTTTTTCACTATTTTTTGCTATTTTTGTACTATTTAAAAGTGACGTGTGAGTTATATAAAAAATAACTTATAATTGAATACAAAACAATAAAAAGAAAATTAACTATTTCTACATATTTAAATATAGAAAATAAAACAAAAAAACGCGCTATGAATTTTTAAAAGAAATAAATTCTACTCAAACAAATATTAAAGTGACATTTAATGTCAAATCGCGGTTAGAAAAACACAACAAATAATGTTAATAAAGTTCTTTTTCTAAATCCTTTAATTGAAAACTATTTTAATTGAAACATATTTATGCACTAGACTAGATTTATGTTCTTATTATAGTTTTTTAAAAATACATTTCAATTATCAACAGTTTCTTTATAAATTGTGCAACTTGGTTTTATTAAAAAAAAAAAAAAATTAACCAGATTCATATGTCTACTGCCCTAAACTTAAACTCAACTTGTTGATAGATGGCGCCAACCCAACTTTAACCAACAACTACAACAACGTGTAAAGTTTTTCTATTTTTATTTTAAACTTTTCATATTATTTCTAACTCTTTATTGTGTTGTATTTGAATACGAAAATTTTACAGTTTTAAAAACCATTAAAAAAAAACTGTGAACAAATACAATATTTATCAGTGTAAATCGCAAAACAGACTGACAGTCGGAGGTACAGACAACAACAGCGAGTTACATGGAAATATTTCGTTGCTGTTTCCTATTTGGTTGATATCAACAAAAACTAAAACAAGCGACCTTTAATGGTCCAGCAATTCCAAATGCACATTACGGTACTTTTTATGAAATACTAGACAATTAACTAAAATGCAATAATAGTACAACCAACCAAACAAACAGCAACAAAAAAACTATTTTCAAAATTATAAAATGTTGCATTTAAATACTCGTTTTTTTTTCTCTCGTCTCATTTTTGCGAAATTTTAAAAGCAAAAAAAGTGTGTCCAGAATTTTGCAAACAAACGAAACCGTTACAAAGACAAATTGCATATAAAAGTTTGAAATGAAAAGGGTTTTAGATAAATGTGTAGCTAAATAAGTTAAAAATTTTGCAAGTTTCTTTTTACACTTTATAAAAAAGTGGTTTTAGTACATGAATTTGAAAAAGTACACAATTGAGATCTAAGTTCAAAATTGCGATTTTAGTACAGTCTAGACTATAGACTATACTATAGACTAGACTATAGACTAGACTATAGACTAGACTATAGACTAGACTATAGACTAGACTATAGACTAGACTAGACTAGACTATAGACTAGACTATAGACTATACTATAGATTAGACTATAGACTAGACTATAGACTAGACTATAGACTAGACTATAGACTAGACTATAGACTAGACTATAGACTAGACTAGACTAGACTATAGACTAGACTATAGACTAGACTATAGACTAGACTATAGACTAGACTATAGACTAGACTATAGACTAGACTATAGACTAGACTATAGACTAGACTATAGACTAGACTATAGACTAGACTATAGACTAGACTATAGACTAGACTATAGACTAGACTATAGACTAGACTATAGACTAGACTATAGACTAGACTATAGACTAGACTATAGACTAGACTATAGACTAGACTATAGACTAGACTATAGACTAGACTATAGACTAGACTATAGACTAGACTATAGACTAGACTATAGACTAGACTATAGACTAGACTATAGACTAGACTATAGACTAGACTATAGACTAGACTATAGACTAGACTATAGACTAGACTATAGACCAGATATAGACCTAGACTATAGACTAGGACTATAGACTAGACTATAGACTAGACTATAGACTAGACTATAGACTAGACTATAGACTAGACTATAGACTAGACTATAGACTAGACTATAGACTAGACTATAGACTAGACTATAGACTAGACTATAGACTAGACTATAGACTAGACTATAGACTAGACTATAGACTAGACTATAGACTAGACTATAGACTAGACTATAGACTAGACTATAGACTAGACTATAGACTAGACTATAGACTAGACTATAGACTAGACTATAGACTAGACTAGACTATAGACTAGACTATAGACTAGACTATAGACTAGACTATAGACTAGACTATAGACTAGACTATAGACTAGACTATAGACTAGACTATAGACTAGACTATAGACTAGACTATAGACTAGACTATAGACTAGACTATAGACTAGACTATAGACTAGACTATAGACTAGACATAGACTAGACTATAGACTAGACTATAGACTAGACTATAGACTAGACTATAGACTAGACTATAGACTAGACTATA